GCATCCACTATCCCGCCCCCGACCAATTTTATTCATCTTTATTTTTTGATGTTGATATGTTAATATTTTAATTTATTTCAGCGGTGTTGTATGTTCAATCGCTGTCAGTCAGATACCTGAATCTCGAGTTTTTCTGTCGTATTTGATGTGATTTTGTAAGATATGAAGGAGCTGTTATGCGTCAAACTCAGATCACTCACATGGGCAACGTGGGCTATTATGTTACTCGAAACACAACTACTCTCTAACAGAAAGGATTCATACTTATTCATTGATCAATGCTTTTTGGTGCTATATTCGTCTGGTACCTGAAGGCTATAAGATTTCTGTCAATCACGTATTATATGTGTACCACTGCACATTTCTCTAACCACTCAAATTCATCAACTTGAGTGGATCACATAAGCATTAATCATCAATTTCGCTTTAATTTATCGTTCACAATTCATAGTTGAATGGGAATCAATCAGAATTTCTGTTCAATCATGATTATGCTATGTTTTGTGCAAATTCGAATCATCATGTAATGAATGCGATCGTGAATTCGTTCGTTTGATTCTTATTTGCAAGTGCTAACATGTTTTCAAGCGAAAACACCAACACATCAAATTACATGTGTATTTTGTAACTCGCATCACTCTATTTCGTTGCATAAATATTCTCTCAAACTTTCATACTACTGATTGTCATGTTAGTAGTATGGTCATTAGGTAAAATGCATTGTGGTTTTCTCACATGGATGAATGTATAGTAATTATGATGGAGTGCTGTACGTCCTGTCAAATCTATTCAAAGATCTATTGTTCGGTTTCAGTTGAAGAATTGTGAAATTTGAAAGTCTCTTCATGTGTTCACGGTTGACCAATATTATTCAATTCCAGCTGTTATCATAGGTGATGTGATCAACTGGATTTCTCCATGATCTTTTATTGATATAAAGTGTATGAAAATTCTACGTTCTCCACAAAACCATTCACTGATAGTTTATTATTGTTTAGAGGAAATTCTATGAGCAGAAATAGAGTGGTTGGTTAATATCCTTATTGTTTAATTGTTTTGCTGCCAATTTTCAACGGATATGTTACCCATGATCATGATTGTAAACTAACCTGATATGCAACGTCACACTGAATCTAGTCAAAGAAATCAATTGAACAAGTAGATGCAAATGAAAGTAGCCACGGTCTATCATTTTATGTCATTCAGATCGTGTATAAATGAATCCTTCTGTCAAACAAGAGATTATCCCATCCACTAGTATGCATGGTGTTTGATAACACTTACCATAACAAAATGAACATATCAGTATTTCAAACTGAATTATTCATCAGGCTGGTGAGAGGCCTATGCTCCTTCACGAGGAGTAACAGACGTAAGTAAGTAAGTAAGTATGTATTCATCAGGGATTTCAGTAAACTAAAACTATTTGTGATCTATACCTTGTCCAGATTTTTCATTCGATTCGAGTTATGTTTGTGGTGATACCTGGGTAAAATCGTATTTCTGAGTTTTACAAAACTGTAGAATGGTGCTAAAACAGCTTATGTGAGGTTGCATATGATATAAACACCTAAGAGTCTAGTTTACTTCGATTAATTACCAAGTAAATTGATCATTAGAAACATAAATTAGGTAACGTTAATATATTCATCTCGCATAGTTCGTTTGAATCTTCCCATTCATGTTTGGGACTGTATTTGACTAGTTTTTTTTATTAGTATTTGTGTATTCTATGCGGATTGCCGAGATATTGTCATCATTCACACTCATTTTAAGCAAATACAGTTGGTGACAGAACGAATTTCTCAATTTACTAATGAATAATTCTATAAAAAGAAAATTTAGTATAAACAAACACGTTAGCTTTCAATACAATAGAAGGTTTTGCTTCAGATGTAATTTGTGATCTGAAAAGCATTCGTCTTCGATACTAGGCCGATGTAAAACGTTAGTCGAAACAGTAGAAACTTGTGAATGTGTTCAACAAGTATGAAAGCAGATTAGGAGGACTAATATATTCCATTTATTATATACGATCAACGGCGATTCTATCTTAGTGCTGTCCATTGGTTCCGAGAAGCAAGATTCAAATCAAACGCTCTGCTTACGTTCTGCTTAAAGATTTAAAGTAAAATAAAAATGGATTCCGTCAGCCTAATAAAGACAGTTTTAGAAGAATTTCGTTTGAGACAATGTAAAAGACCTTCTGGAAGTCTAAGTGCAGAAATATTACTAATTTTTCAACATTCCTTCTCTGAATAATTTGATTAAAACATTCAAATTCGGTGCAGAGCATCAGAGTTTAGTCATAAACTCATATTGAGATAGGCTAATCGGGCTTCACAGATAGGTTGAACAGTTTTAAACAGAATAATGAATCTTCCTGAATTCGGCATTTCACGAGCGATGCAGAAGTGTCGTCAGGCCGACTGTTATAGGACTTTATTCACTGCGGCTATGGCCTGCTTACTGTTGGTAGATATAAAATCCATTTCAAACAGATGCCTAGATGTCAGCATTAAAATTGTGTTAATATAGATATAGGTTATTGTGCCGCAGCGTCGAGAGAAACGGCAGCTGAATTGTCTACAAATAGTGTCACATTCTTCAATAATGCTGCAGATTCTCCGAAATATTTTATCAACAAACGACTTTAGTGCAGTAAGTCGAACACATCCAACTTAAAATCCAAACTCAATTACGCATGTCTAAGTGTTCAGGTTCATTCAAACCACGTATCAACTATTTAGATCTTTCATATTTGTTAATAATTAAATTTAGGTGACTACATTAAGAATATCTAAACCTAATGTGGTGATATATCTTTCATAATGATTCATCAACTCAAACATTTTCTTGTTTAAAGTGAGTTCGTTTACCTTTTCATTTTATTTCACCTCATGCTTATCTACGACGATAAGATAACTAGCTTTTGCCAACTTGCGTCATTTATGGCGTAGGCGAGATATCCGTCTATCAACCAAAGGATGTGTTTACTGCGCAGCAGTTCGTCCCGTCCTACTTTATGGCAATGAAACATGGCCGGTAAGAGTAGAGGATATTCATAGGTTACTAGTACTCGATCATAGGTGTCTTCGAAACATTGCTCGTATATCCTGGGACCATCGAATAAGTAACACAGTTGTTAGGAAACGGGTACTAGGTAAGGATGGCAAATCAATTGATGAAGTGATGAAACTTCATCAGTTGAGATGGCTGGGACAAGTGCTACGTATGCCCAACGACCGACTGCCTCGACGTGCTATGTTCAGTGGTATAGGAGTAGGTTGGAAGAAAGCTAGGGGCGGCCAGACCAAGACATGGCACAAGTTCATGAAGTCACTGACAAGTGGACTGAGTCATGTTGGTAGGTGTAGACTACCTGGTTGGGGACCGCGAGATGAAAGCAACCGATGGTTAGAGACCTTGAATGACATGGCTCAAAATCGTTTGCAATGGCGCAGGTGCATCCACTCTTTGTGTTCTCCCAAATTCTAATCTTCTGATTTCTTCATGTCCCTTTCTTTTCTTCTCTTTCCAAATTTATTTCACTGGATTATAGTCCTTGAACATCTTCAAACCCAAATTTTTTTGATTACAGCTTATAATCTTACTAAATCTAGCACTACGGGATTTGAATCGACCACTGCATCTCTGTGCTAATGTGGTGTGGCAACTCGAAGTGATGTACGTACGTACGAAGTTCCACGTTGGGACTGACTGAAGGGTTAGAGACTTCAGGAATCTGAATAATATTAATTCATTGTAATTCATGGAATTAACAAGTAATAAGATGGGTTGCGCAATAATTCATTTTACTTTTTCATATTTAATTACCGATTTCTTAAACCACCGTCACTTAATCCTCTTCAATTATGTGAACTCTTCAAATTCTATTCAATTATTACGTAACCCAGCTTATCAGTTCTTAATTCCACGAATCCCTTATTAACTACAAAATTCTCACACCACTTATCTGTCTCTGAACTACACCCGATTATCACACCACCCATCCTTAATGTTTCCTTGATTCTGGCAACAAATAACCTCTGACCTGTTATTGCATATATACATATGTATATAGTTATTATTGATAACCTACGTTATTCCAATTCTTTACATTCATTTATGTCAACTGTTTCATACCTCAACGTTAAATTCTAATACATATTTAGTTGTAAGCGGCTGACGGGAAACCACGAAATATAATGAATTCATATTATTCCGCATCAATATTTCTTCTGGTTTTCTTTAAATTCATAAACAGAACTAATCGCATGAAATTATAGTCTAGTTAGGTACTGATACTAATTTGATAATAAACGTAATCTGACGACGGTAAATATGTGGGTGCCAAATCTGTAAGATCTTACGTGGAAGTAGCGTCAATTACCCCTCCTCAATTCCTACAGACACTTACTCGTGAACATTATTGGTATTCATCTTAATGAAAGTAAGAATAAGAGGAAAATAAAAATTATGCAAAAGTTTATTGAATCATCATTAATACTGAAGCATAAAAACAAGTTTACAAGTTATTATTGACAATTCTTAAATAATAATTGTTTAATTTGTTCCTCAACTTCCGTCGCGAAGCCTTCACCATATTTCTCAATGATGTGATGCCTGTAAATTCTTTGGCGTCGCAGAATCCTTATATACTCATCACTCCGTCTCGGCAATGCAATTGTTGTGCTATTTTGGAAGTTCTGCATAATATGTAGCTTCCATCCGCTGCAATGCCTAAGAAGTTGATGAGCTATACAGTTTATATTTTATAATTAATTAAGCCTACCTGTAATAGTTCGTCTTTTAACATATGCCAGTAGCATATGGCGGCAAGGATATCGACACGTAACATATATTCTACAATTGCACTCACAAATGCTTACATCCACTTCATAATGCTGTCCACAGTCAACCATAAACAACCGGTCGCCGTTTTCATCTTGTAGGATTTGATGACATATCCTTGCTTCTCCATTCTCACAGAACTTTGATTAGCAACTAAGGAAATTATACACTAAACGTCAGGTATTAGTTAAAGTTCTCATGTTTTTGATTCAATTCCAAACCTTCCGAATCGCGCTTATGAGCAAATGTACAGTGAAACGTAACAAACAGATATTTGAACCTGACATCCTTCAGTAACTTGCTTTCTATGTGGATGCCATTAGTATGGATAGTCTAAAAAAGGATAAAATAACTCCCCCATACTTTTTGGAACTATTTTAGCGCGCTATCAAAGTCATACCAGCATGCGAAACGTGTGTTCAGTACCATACTTTGAAAAGCATCGCTAAGGTCGACTGAAATGTCACTTGAGCATGAAGCACTACAAAGAGAAATCATTGTTCATAAAAACGTTATTCCTTGAAGCAATAATAACCCAAGGAAGTACTACAAATATTTAAGATTTACCGGTGACTTGACACTTCGTTGAGGTTAACTACAGCAGTTGGGATCACAGACCAAGTTACGAAGTAATAATAGAGCCAACGTGTACACTACGAAACAGTGAACGCTAAATTTATGCATCTGGAAGTCATTTTGTGCTTCTTAACGCAGCAAAAGATGACGACCAAACAAACCTACGGCCTCTTGTTAAGCTGTTCAAGGTCGTTGAAACGAAAGGGCGGGCAGCTTCGAACGGCTCTGACGTATCAAGACGGCAGCGCTTCAGGGGTATCGCGACACTTTTTTGCGCTACTTTCTCATTTCTGCTTTGTTCACAACCAAAATTCGAAATTAATTATGAATAAATTTGAAAGTCCATTTTCCGTTTTCATAATTAGGTGAAAAAGGGTTTTTCCATTTTGCGTTACATAGTATCGTGAAGTCCTTGGAAATTCATTATTCAGGTGCTGCTATAATAGTTTTTTCGTGTTTGCATCGCAGACTAGCAATTATTTCTACTTAGGTATACACTGATGATAGACAAATCTTCTATTTTTATATGAAATAGCATGATCCAGGCATATATCGTCATAAAAATTGTATTGTCGTCAAGGCTACCAAAACTGCGTTACAACTAACGATACCATGGGCACGGACTGGCGGGTAAGCCACGGATTTTCGCGCACACGTTACATATTGTCGTGGATTTTTCGTGTCGTTATTTATCAGCTATTAACAGGCTTTTTTGCATGACACATCAATTTCTGTATTGCTAGTGCTTGTAACATAGTTTTTATTCCAATTTATTAGCAGTTTGACGTATTTCTCGCTGTGGGGTGAATTGAACAAGAAGCTCGAACTTCCTAGAATAGAGCCTTTGACGGTCACCCGGCTCACTCGAGGAAAGGATTCTAAGCATCTAAATCACCCGAGGCTTCTCCGAGTAACACTTAAGGATGCTACCGACGTAGAGGACGTCTTGCTAGCAAGTCACTTACTGAAATCAGATGGTAACGTAAGAATATTGCCCGACATACCGTACTCTGAGCGCAATATCATACGAAACGTCCCTAAAGAATCTCGCGAGCAGTTCTTCCGCGGAAGAAACATAATTGTCCAAGGTATACCGGAAAATGCAGACCCTACTCAATCAAATTCTGACATCAGGGAATGGAAATTCATCAAACAGTCCTTGAGGCTCAAACACATACTGACTCAGCATGTGACGAGACTAGCCAAGAAGGACGGTGATCTTAGACCCCGTCTAATGAAGATAACCTTCCCATCTTCCCACATGGCGGCTGCAGTTCTGGAAGCATTTCGTGCTAATAGACGTCGATTGCCACCTGGAATTCACATGCACCCGGATAGGCCATACGAAGTCAGGACCAAGAACAAAGGCAAGTTGGAGCTGACCATTCCACTTGTGGACTGTCTAAACGATAAAAAAACGTGTAAAGGACAGGGCCTACCACCTCGGCAAACCTCATATAGGTGGGCTACCTGTCCATTCACATAAGGTTCATACAGAAAAACAGGACGAAGCTCATGCGTTCCAAATTGAAAGCATAAACTGCTTATATACGAACGCCGCGAGTTTACCAAACAAACTGGATGAACTACGTGAACTTAGCAACGCTAACAAGGCCCATCTGATAGGAATATCTGAAACCTGGATATCTTCTCAGTTCTCGGATCAAGAGTTAGCATTGCCTGGGATGACTTTGTTCCGCAACGACAGAAAAATAGGAATTGGGGGCGGAGTAGCCATATACATAAGCTCTTGCTTGGAGGTGCACCAGGTTCACAACCTCGAGTTTAACAATCTTGAGGAATCCATATGGTGCTCTGTAAGGTTGTCTGGTACTTCCAGGTGTCTAGTCGGAGTCATTTACAAGAAGCCAACTGCCGACACCGAGTACGATAGTCGTATGCTGGAAGGACTATCCCGCTCTATCCGTCTCGGTTTCACACACATCCTGATTCTAGGGGACTTTAATCTCCCTAGAGTCAACTTCGCGGAACACACGTACACTGGAGGCGACAACTCAACTGAAGCTCGGTTCTTCAACCTCATCGATAACTTGGGCTTATATGAAAATGTGAGGTCGGCAACTCGTTGGAGAAACAGTCAGACACCATCGCGCTTAGACTGTGTATTCACTAACGAAGAATTCCTAGTCGACAACCTCACAATCCTGGCTCCTCTGGGAAAAAGCGATCATGCCGTCATAGCCTTCAGTTTTGTCATCAAAACTAAGCTAAGGTATCCCAACAATAATTTGCGTTGGAATTTTAAACGGCTGAATATGCCAGCTCTACATGACCATCTACAACAGGTGGTTTGGGATGTTCACCCTCAAATCGATGTGGATGGTCATTGGGACTTCTTGCTGCACACGCTCTTATGTGCTACAGACCATTCAGTTCCTCAAACGGTTCCCAAAAGCTTCAAGCCACCTACAGTAATCAAGAACCGTACCCTTCGCCTCCTAAGCCGCAAACGGCACTGTTGGGCGGATTACAAACGAACTAATAACGATGGAGCGTATAGGCAATACAAACATATCAGGAACACATGCACGAAGGCTATAAGAGAAGACAGGCTTCAGTACCAAACAAAGCTTATGGACAAATTCGCCTCTAACCCTAGAAGCCTATTCCGTTATGCAGCCTCTCTTCGTCAAGCCAAAACAGGAGTTTCTCAACTGCTAGGTCCTAACGGCCCGACCAACAACGATGGCGACGCCGCTAACCTTCTGGCGGCCCATTACTCTCAAACATTTCAACCGGCTGATATCAACTTTATTGACGACAGTTTCATCTGCAATTCCACAGGACTTTCTGAAGTGGACCTAAGCGCTGACTTGGTGTTCCGGAAACTGCAGCACTTAAGACTTGACACTTCTCCTGGCCCGGATATGGTTCATCCTGCCATACTGAGGGAGGCAGCCTCAATCCTGGCAACGCCGCTTAGCGTGATGTTTTCACGCTCGCTTAGCCGAGGCAAACTACCGGAAAATTGGAAGTTGGCTCACATCACACCAATTTTCAAAGGTGGTCGACGCAATGAACCTTCAAGTTACCGGCCGGTAGCTCTTCTGTCGTTACCTTCAAAACTCATGGAGTCCCTGATATGCGACGGTTTAAATGACTACCTACTGTCCTTAAATTTCTTCTCACCCCAACAGCATGGTTTCAGGAAGGGTTACTCTTGTATAACCAACCTGCTGACTGCGGTGGACAGATGGACAAGCATCCTCGATCGCAAGGGAAAGGTTGATGTCATTTACCTTGATTTCTCAAAAGCTTTTGATAAGGTTAACCACTTGTGTCTTATCAACAAGCTCAAACGACTAGGTATCAAACCACCTCTAATCGACTGGCTTAATTCATACCTAAAAAATCGACACTTTAAGGTTAGGGTTAATTTCACTTTATCTCAAGCTATGGAATGTCCTAGTGGGGTCCCCCAGGGCTCAGTACTAGGGCCTCTTCTCTTCTTGATCTACATAAATGATCTTCCTCAACAGGTAACGTCAGACTTATTACTTTTTGCCGACGACGTGAAACTTTGGAGAGAGATACGCAACCAAGACGATATACAGGCACTTCAAGAGGATCTGACTCGACTTCAAAGTTGGGCAGACGATAACGGACTTACCTTTAACACTTCAAAGTGTAAAGTAGTCCATCTGCGACATGTCGCAAACTACAGTTACAACTTAGGAAACTCCTCTCTAGTAGTATCCCAAGTCGAAAAAGATTTAGGAGTCCTGGTGCCCCATGACTTAAAGTCTTACGCTAACTGTGACAAAAATGCCCTCCGAGCAAACCTTGCACTGGTAACGTTGAGGCGCATTTTTGGCCAGTTTGACGGAAGAACTTTCCACACAATCTTCAATAGTTTCATCCATCCCCATTTAGAGTACGGAAACATAGTACCCCCTCCCTCCGTCACTCCAAAAGGACAAGGTCACCTTGGAGCGTATCCAACGTCGAGCCACGAAATCAGTTCGAGGACTCAAATCTAAGCCTTACGAAGAACGCCTCCGTTCACTAGACCTTTACCCACTAGAATATAGGCGTCTTAGAGGTGATTTATTAATGACTTATAGTATTCTTAACACTTCTGGACATCCTCTTAAACACCTACTTAAGCTTAGTTCGAACAATAACCTAAGGGGTAACACCCAGAAACTGGAAACACAACATAGCAAGACGGAATGTAGACACAACTTCTACTCCTTAAGAGTTGTCAAAAGCTGGAACTCGCTGCCGGCTGAGCTAATCCAAGCGACTTCTCAGGAGTCCTTCAAGAGGCAACTTGACCTATTCTTAAGGACCAAGGTCAGCATCGCACTATGATTTACCAATTTCTTTTCCTCTTTTATTGTTAACATACCTAGGTTCCTGCCTGGAGGATTTGGTGATCCCCTGCTACTAGACACGGAAGCCTGTTAAGCGAAAGCTTCTTTTATTCCGTCCACAACCATTTGAACCATTTGAACCATTTGAACCACGTAAGTAAATCTGATGTTAGCTTAATATAGTTATTTGTAACAATACAAACTCAAGCAAGTAAAGTTCACCGTGTTTCTAGTCAAAAAATACATCACAGATTGAGTTTTCATGAAAATGAACCGTAAAATCTTTTACATATGATTCACCTCCTTGATTGCGGTGACGGTGAACATGGATGTCGGTAGTTGTTTATAAAATGTAAGTAGAAGCAATCAAGCGTTAACCTAATTGTGAATATTATATAACTTGTTTGTATTTAGCCATAAAAAGTTATATCCATTAGAGGTACCATTGTTTTGTACTGAAGTGACATAATTATGTAACGTATCTGAGAAAAAAATTATGTCAGTAACAATTAACGTTTATAGTGTTGTCCAGCGGCTTTCTGAACGTCTGCAGTGATAGTATATAACACCACATCAAGTAGGAACAAAATCTTCATGAATAAAACGATCGGTGTTTCTTGTGAGAATGGTGACACAACCATGTTTTTTAGTTAATACTGATTTGTGACGTGTCTGTTATAGGGTTCACAAAAGAGTTATTATATACTCTTCACTCCGTCTCGGTAATACAGTTGTTGTGTTACTTAGGAAGTTATGAATGAATGTCACTACTTGTTAATAAAAGACTTATAGGCACAGTCTGTTACTTGCTATTTGAATAACTTATTGAATATGATACTGAGAACAAAGTTTAATTGTTTGTCTCAAAACGGATTTGTTGTTTTTCAGAATAGTATGAAGCTTATGGAATTTAGGATTACGGAAGATCGTGTGGAAAACCGGTTTAAAAGTTTACGATAACTGTTTTATATTGCCTACTGCTATGCTCATTCATCTAATGAATTATTTAAATATAAATATAACAACCATACGCAGTGTTTTATATTATAAATCCTGTAAGTTTGTATAATTATGGTATGAATAAAGCCAAAACAAATATTGACGCACAATCATGTGACTGCATTACATTTCGTGGTTTCTCATAAGTTGCATACAACTGAATATGGATTATAATTTAAGATTGAGGGAAGAAATAGTATGAAAGATAATAGAAAGCAAAGAATTGGAATGACCTAGGTTATCAATAATAACTATACATATGTATATGCTTGAACAGGTCAAAGGTCATTTGGTGTTAGACTTAAGGGAACATAAAGGATGGGTGGTTGTGGTGTTTGAATGGACTAATGATACCTTTGTACTGGTTGAATGCTTGATTTCAAATTCTAAATACAATACATTCGTTGGTGCCTGTGTCTTCTTAATTCAATTGCGTTAATCTTGGAATTCCTAATTCATACGATAATTAGAATACTATATCGGCGTCGCGATGGAACCTGCAATGGAAACGTTGGATATTCATTCAACTCCTGAAGCTATTGAGGATTATTTGGAAAGGTTCGAAATTTGGAGCATGACCAAGAAAGATGTTAAAGGTGATAAAATTGTGGCACATTTTCTGACATTCATTGGGAAAGAAGCGTACAGCTTATTAAAAACTTTGGC